ATTCCCTGCATGCACCAGTTGCTTTTCATTGTGTTCTTGTGTGTGGTGACGAAGCCAGGTGTCTCTCCCCAGATCACGGGACCTCGGCATCCCGCAGACTTTGGAGACAGACCCCCACCTCTATGTCTCCACAGCAGCCCCCCACCGGGGATCACAGCCCCCCCCAGCCATCTGGCTCCTCCCAGCCGCCATGGGCAGCCGCCCCATGCTGGACGGATCCTCCTGCTGACCCTGGCCCCAGCCTGCTGTGTGCTGGTGTGCCTTTCGGATCCGTGGCCTGGCTGGGCGGGCACACCCCTGACACACCCCGAGCCCCACACGTGGGGGCTGGCTCTGACACCGGGGGAAAGGTGGGGAGCAGGGGGCGGGCTGGGTGGGGGCAGCTGCTGTGGTGGAGGCCAAGTATTGGAGCCATTCGCTGCAGCCTGGGCTGGGTTTGCTGGGCTCAGCCTGCTCCCCCCAGCTCTGCCGGGCAGGGGCGGAGTGGGGCTCCCCTCTCCCGGGGCTCTGCCGGGCAGGGGCGGAGTGGGGCTCCCCTCTCCCGGGGCCAATGGGGGTTCAGGCTGCCATTTGTGAAGGGGGAGACAGGGCCGCACAGGCACCGGCGCGGTCACTAAAAGCTCTTTATTGTACAGAGCCCCCAGCACTGCGCCCTGGCACGCTGGGAAATGAGAGCCTGGTGTGAGGCCGGCATCCCCCTTGCTCCAGGGTCCCCTGTGGCCAGTGGGGCTCCCCCCACCTCCTGGACTTCTGCAAGTGGCTGGGGAGGGGGGAGTGGGCAGAGGCCCTTCCAGGCACCTTTACATCAATCTCCAGGTCCACACAGTGCTTATTTCCCCCTCCCCCCCCCACACACACACTTGCCACAGCCTGGGGACGAAGGGCTCAGCTGGGGGCTACCTGGCGCAAGGGGGAAGCTGTGGCCTGGATCCCGGACAGGCTATGAGCACTTGATGGGCTTGTACATAACCCTGTGGAGATGCAGCCACCCCGGGGGGCACAGGGGCTGTTTACACAGGGATCCCTTGCCCGGCCATCCCTTGCCCGGCCCTGGGCTGTGGCTGCCTCTGGGGGGGAGCTTGGCAGCTTTCTCACAGCCACATCCCAACACTGCCCATGCCAGGCCAGGAAGTGAAGACAAACCCCCTCCCTGGGGATGAGGGACGCAGAATGAATTCAGCCAAGGCAGCAAGATCCCCCCCACACCCCACCCTGCAGGTGAGCCCTGGTAGACTGGTGCCATCACCTCCTTTCACTGTGCCTCAGTTTCCCCAAATGTTAACCAGGTCTGGCTCAATAACTTGCCTTCCTGGGCCCTGAGCTCCCCCAAAGTCTGTTTGCTCAGGGGGCCTGTGGCAGAACCCGGTGTCCTGATGCCCAAGTGGATGGTGGAACCACTAGTCCCTACTACCTCTCAGGCCAGGCCAGTCTCCCTGCTCTTCTGCTCTCACTCCTGCGTGTCACCCCAGCATTGTGCCCTGCCCATGCCCCATTTCCAAAGCACTTCGAGCCAGAGGCAGGGTGGGCTCTGGCAGCAGCATCCTTGCAGATGGAGAAGCACGGTTAAGACACCCATGGCCCTCCGCAGAGTTCAGTTTCCATCTGGCTCAGCTCCTGCCACAGCTGGATGGGGGGCACCCACTGGAGGGGGTGCAGCTCCATCATCCGCCCCGTCCCCTGCCACATGGCTCCATCGTCCGACCAGGTCACGTCCGACAAACCCTCTGCGCACGCCTGGAAGCCCCTGCAGGAGCCCAGAGCAGGTGGGGCCGGGCGCCGCCAGCCCTTCTGGTCCGTCCGGGCCCCTAGAAGCGGGCGACCATGCTGCGCTCGGAGCTCTGGAAGGAGCTGATCTCCCAGCGCTCGAAGCGGCTGCCCTTGCCCGGGGGCTGGCGGCGCAACGCCACACAGAGCTTGCGCAGCACCGCGCGGCGCAGCAGGATGTAGACCCAGGGGTCCAGGATCTGGTTCCAGGAGGCCAGGCGCACGCCCAGGAACAAGAGGCGCTGGTAGTGCAGCGAGCCGGCCTTGTCGCCCACTGCCAGCAGCACAAAGAGCTGCAGGGGGGAGGGATGTGGCCGTAAGGGGGGTGCCCAATTGCCAGGGGATGAATAAATATTTTGTTAATTTTTTTTTCTCTAGTTCTTCTAGCATTGATTGATCGAATGGGAGATGCCAAAGACCAAGTTAGAGAACAAGCACAGACTCTTATATTGAAGTTAATGGACCAGGTAGCACCACCAATGGTATGACAATAACTGGAAATTCAAACTTAAGCTCTGATATTATAAATATTTACATGTGATCTTAACTTGATACACAGGTTTCTCCAGTGAATTCAGCTGTTAAGTGTGTGCAAATTTTAGCTGGATCATTGTCTTAATGTGTAAACAATATTGAACAGTTTTGCTTTAGCTGAAGATGTAATTTTCACACTAAGCATACCGTTTTTATATTTATTATACACTTAAAAAAGCGGTACATGGTGTAGTCACTCTTTGTTGGCAGGAGAGCATCTCCTACCAACAAAGCATTGTCTACACTACTACTTTTGCCAGTCAAACTTTCGTTGGTCAGGGTTGTGATGGGTTGCAGTCACAGATGACCCCTTGGGACTATTCCCTAGTGTGCTGATTATGTCACTGACACTCGCTTTCTTGCTGTTTGGGGCTCCTTACTGCCTTGTCTTGTCCTGCTGGGCCAGATTTTCTGGTGTCCCCAGACATGGCACAGAACTAGGGTAACTGCCTCCTCCTGAAGAGCACTGAAGACACTGCACCAGTTCAGCTCTGAGAGAATGCATAGCACCCAGGAAACCAACCTCCTTAAGGGATCAAACCCCCAAATAAATCCGTCTTTCTCGGTGAAAAAGTTTTATACGATGAAAACTCATCAGATAAGCCCCCTTTATCAAAGAAAGAAGGATATGCACACTGGTTATTCCCCTCCCTCCCTCCCCCCCAGGTAAAAATTATTTACACTGGGCTTGATAATAAAAACACTTTTATTTACTAAGTACAAATAGTAGGATTTAAGTGGTTGCAAATGATAATGGACAGATCAAAGTAAATTACAAAATTAAAATAAAAAGAAAATGCAAAGTTCATTCTAATACCCTAAATCTTATTGCAAGCAGTTTTTTTATCTACAGAGCTGTTCTTGCCCTAGCCATAATCTTCAGGTCGGAGGCACGGTGCCTAGAGAGAACCGCCAGCCCTCTGGTGCTGAGCGCCCTTGGTGGGGGGAGAAGACTTTGCGCACTCCCCAGCTCTGGGGTCTTGATTGGCCTGGGGGCCGGGAGCAGCTGGGCGGCCAGGAGCCAGATCCAATGGCTTGACGGGATACATCTGGCCTGTGGACCACCCCAACCAACCCCAACTAAACCAGACCAGCCAGGGCTTTGTCAAGCGGAGACTAGGGACGGCGATCCCACCCCCCCCCTAGG